ATTTCCTATCTAAAGACGAACAATTTACAAAAAAAAAGAATTCAATTATCTTCTTTAGTTCCGGAGATATTCCCAAAAATATGGTTTCAACCCCCAACTTCGAGGGCTATTTTCACCCCCTTAACATGAATGATAGCAGCTAAAAAAAAATACGTGTCGAATATTTTTTCGAGAACTACATTATATCCAAGTTTCATAAAAATCGGAGATTATCACTTCGGGATGGTCCCTTGTCAGTTTAAACTCTCAAATATTTAAGTTACTATACTCGTACCCGGCTAAATATAATTATAGGCTGCTTAACACATGTTGTACTTAATACTAAATAAATTGTCTCATTCTGAAATGAATATTCGATTTAATATTCGATTTAATATAAATTAGGTAGCGGTTAGAAGTAAAATTACAATTTATTTTAACCGATTTGAATAAAAATCAATTACACTTAGCACACTGTGAATTTATAGTGTAACCTCTTCGTTTTATTCGCATTGATTAAAATGACTTATAAATACGTGTAAACCGAATTTTGGACATGAACATTTTAAAACCTCAGTTGGAGACACAATAATGTAGAAGTTAATATGGCGTCACATAAAGGATGCGTAGTGTGTACATAAATCACGATAATATTGTTTTTAGCATAAATAAGTTAACTTTTTGTAGAGATAGCATAGAAATAACATTTGTAGATCCAGCAGGGTGCTATAAAGTATAGTAAACATTAAAAACAAGTAATTTAATGTAATTAATACACTAATATCTCGACGATGTACTGCGCATGTCTCTTTTGACGCCATATTGGTTTCATGTATTCATAAAGGGTACACTATTAAATGCGTCTGACTGAGAAACTGTGTTCAGATCAGTTTATACCATCGAATTTATTGTTTAAAAATACTAATTAACAGTTAATCTCCAAATAAAAATGATAAGAAATAGTAACTGTAAACTAATGAGACGTACAGCGGAGCTTTTTTCTTCTATATCTTCTTTTTCACTAGAAAAAGCTAGTGTGCTCAATAGCGTACGTATACAAGATACAATACGATTTGTTTTATATCTCGCCTTATAAAGACTGGGTCTTTTATTTACATTACGATTTGAATTTAATCGTATTTAATAAGCAGAGTTTGTTTTTTGAAGAGTATAAACAAACTGTAGAACAGTAGGTGTGACCAGTTATCTATTTTTATAAATTGAGTAAACATTTTAAAATTATTGTGTTGATACTCTTTTATGATCAAAATTCATTTTATCATGCATTTAGTATGTTACGAAGAGATTCACTTACAATGTTTAATATTCAAATATACAAATTAATTTTACATTTTTACAATTTTAGGACTTATGAGTTGTTTATAATGAAATGGCAGCTTCCTCTTTTGAAGGAAATTTGATTTGCTGTATTTTTTTAATCGTATGAAACGCGAAAATGTGAAAAATGTGGAAATTGAATTTTCTTAAATAAATGGAGTTCTCTCAGTTTCGTTATAAAGGACTTGTTTGTTGATTATGCATTTTTTAGTGCTTAGTTATTTTAGGCTCTGAATGGTTCATATGTAAATTATTATAGTGTCTGTTCGATAACTCCCCGTTAGGAATGTACCTTAGAAATGCATCCTATCTCTCTTAACAGTTTCTTCCTTTACTTCACTGTTTCATTCACATAACATGGTAATTATAAAACGTGCTGAAATAATCTCATAGCATGAAAATATTGCCTTCACAATTTTTTTATATATCGTTTCAGTAAAAAGTTATTTAAGAATTTTTTAAGAATTTACTTTTGACACCATTAAAATTTATCCAATAAATCTGTCTGTTAATCTTTTAATCGTCATTTCTTCGTACCTATTAATTTTTGCTTTAGACTCTATCCCGAACTTTTACATCTTATAGCAAAATCAAGAGGTAAATTTTTAACCCTTAAAGTTTTAATAATTTAACAACCTTAACATAACTGTTTAAAATATATTTATAGTCTCCTTGAATGTTTAACGAAAGTTGTACAAAATTAAATGTGGACATATCTCACATGTAATATTTGTTACAGAAGTGATAATAAATATTTTAATTTTCCTACATATTTTATATTAGGCTATTTTCGTAAGAACTATTTAGCATTTATCAAGAAAAGTCTATAAAGATATACTCGTCTGTTATATCAATGTAATTTGTAACCACACGTTCTATGGATTCGTTTAGATACATAACTTGGAATTAAAAAGTACATGTATACATTTCAACACCGTTTTTACAATAATTTCTTGAATTACAATAATTTTCAAAATAAACGTCCAAATATTTGCAACTACAACTTTAAGATATATTTTTATTTCTCCGATGTGAAAAACGAAAAAAAAAAATACATATGGATCTTATTGAGTGCCAAATTATGTCAACGCTGCTTCATCAAAACTGCTGTATGTTACTTGGACAACTTTATTATAAAAAGAATTTTTCCTAATTCAACTGCAGTCACCGCATCTTTTATGAACAAATTAAATTTCAATTTATAAAATCATTTTTAATATAAAAGTCGAAGGTGACAGATCATCTACAGTTTGTTTATACTTATTACTGCAAAAATATTATGCTAGAATATATCGATAAAACATGTTCATGCTCTTCATATTTCTTTGGCAACAATACTTGTAGCTTTATTTGTCATAAAAGTCTATATTTAATAAAAATATAGGTGCACACGACACGCTTAATGTTTTTGATTTCGAGAAAATATATCTGACGAAGGTAAAGGATTAACTGTTTACATAAAACGTATAAGAAAGCAATGATTTGAGACAGCCACAAATTTAATCAAAGCTCCGAAATTGAAGGCCAACATTCTATCTCTGTACAATATTTTTCTCTCCATTTATTTATTTTTTGTATATAGGCTTATTTATGAATGAATTATGAAATATAACAATGATATTAAAATTATAAAAATATTAGAATGTTGGTGTTGGTTATTTTCATTATTTATATGCTTATATCTTGTGTAACTTTTATTCTATAATATATTTTATTAAATTTTTTCTGATTTTATTTTTTCTCCTTAGAATTTATTTTAGCTTAATTTATTTTTAATTTATATTACATTCGACGTTGACCTTTACATTAACCAAACATTTTTAATAACTAGAGCTATTTTTTATCTCACGACTGTAAAAATTCTGCATGATTCAAATATTTTAAAAAATTATACTTTTCTACCTTTTTTATATAATTTTTCACCCGTTCAATAGAATATACATATATGTAAATAAAAGAGTTGACCTTCAATTTCAGGTTTCCAGTTTTGAAGCAGATTTTTTTACAAATATCTATGCAACGTGACGTGGAAAATGATTTCACTAGATTAAGGTTATTGTTTTCACAATTTTTGACACAGAGTAGAAAATACACAGAACACTATTATATTAAACGGTGGTAACAAATCTATTCTATTAAAATAGACATTTTCATAAAATTCATGAAAATTAATTTAACGAAAAGTAAATGTTTAATCAGAATTAATATTTAAAAATAATCCATAGATATAAAAAGATCGGTAAGTACTACGAATCCTGAAGAATCAAGGATTCAAATTGGACTGTTTAGCTTTTAATCATTAACATTCCAATTTCTGTTATCGTTCATAACAGTTTTATCATTACTTAAATTCTAGTAATTAAAATATTTCACAAAAATAAAATTCAGCATTACCTGAAATCTGATAGTAACAAGAATTTCATTTTTCAACCAGTATTTTATCAAACAAAAATAAATATCTTAAAATTTGTATACCTATCGATTCCTATACTTTGAAACCAGTTTTATTCAAAAAGTGCTCATTTTTACTTGTTTACTGAATCGAAGTCACGAATTTCAAAATAACACCAATCCATCGAGTAACAGTATCAGTAGAAACATTTTCTTTAACTTTTCGTTGATCTTTCTGATTCCTCTAGCGAGATATAACAAGCTTTGCGAGAAAAATCAGAAAAATTATTAGATAAGAGAAACGTTTTTTCTGAAGATGCTGATCGATGGAATTGCATTTTTATGGAATTCACGGCTTCAATCGAATTCAACAGAGAGTTCTTACTTTGAGCAAACCTACGTATACCAACCTGCAGTTCTCGTTCTGTACATTGTTGCATTAAACCAGAAAGAATGTAAAAATCACGATAAAGAAAGAAAACAAGATATTCAGAAAATAGTATGAAAATGATTGAAAGCCGAACATGTATTACGGATTTGTTTCAATGGTTCTCAGTTCCATCTCGTTCCGTGATTTCCGGCACGAATCACCAGAAAATTACAAAATTAATCATCATGACTAATCGTTAAATTTAAAGAGCGAAATCTGTAAAATTTCAGCATAGTTTGTACAAACGATCACAGTTAATTATTATTAGAGTTAAAAATCTATATTCTAGTCCGGTACAACACAGGTAATTATAAACAATAGTTCAATTATAAATTCTTGTAAATAAAACATCAAAAATAAGAAATGTTAAAATGTAAGGTCCTCGATGTTTAAAAAGTGAGGTCTTTGATGATCAAATTTGGTTGTGTTTTCAAATTGCCAAATTCAATAAATTTGAACACTTGTTAGAGGATTAAGAACCACTGATACTGATGAGAAAAACTTACCTTGGCCGGGGCTGTGGGTTGTGTTGTCACGACATTGTCACCTGTCCTCTGGTTCCGCTATAATACAACAACAACGTAAACAAAACCGCTAAACTATTTTATTCTAAAAAAAAGGCAAACATAAAAAGTGCATGCTAGGCTAATTCAGAAAGGTTTCAGAAACAGATGACGTATGGCGATTATGAAGTGAATGATCAAGAAACCAATCGATTACATGAGAAAAATAAAAAAAAACATTATTATTTTATTCCTGCAAACACCTTCGGTGAAAGTGATCAAAAGGTGAAAGCACTTCTTAAATATTGCCAACTGCATGACTTTTAAGTTCTACGATCCTTTTTTAATTACGTAGAAAAAAGCAGTACTTGATTCTCTACAATGAATTTTTTTTACACAGATACGAGACAATTTGTGTAAGGTTATAGTTTTATTCAAGAAATCATTAAGAAATTCACTAGAAAGGAATTCATTGTTGTTATCAAAGTACTCGCAAGAAAAAGTCGCGACACTAACGAGCGTTTTTTGAATTACTAAGAAGTTCAAATTATAGGAACAGATAAGTATAAATAAATATAAGAATGTTTAACATATTCGTCTTAATATACTCATAGAAGATTTTTCTAAACGTTTTTAACGTTGACATCTTATAGCTAAAAATTGTAGTCTTAGAGTTAAACGATGATACAGGAAACCGAGGCTAGTTATTACTGTGTTGTTTTAAATGTGTTTAAAGGATATTTTGAAAATGATGTACTTGAAGTGTTTCGACGATACTCACCCTTTGAAAGTTTTGGACTAACCCTCAGATCGCTGAGATAGCGATAACTTAAATTTAATTTTACAGTTTAATTAGTATTTCGTAACATTTTTATTATTTAATATTCGTAATGACACCATCAATTTTTTTTAATTTTTAGAACTTGATAAATTTTTTAGATCTTGATGAGAAACAGTTACTGTATATTAGAAGTGAACAAAATTATGTACATTTAATAGCAATCTTTAACTGTGGAATGTAACATTCAGTATATTTTTTCAATTCCACTTTTTACTATTTTACATCATGCTATTTTAAGATGTAATAATCGTTAAAATAGTTTGACTTGTATTTATTAAAAACTGTTTGTTCATTTTTTTTAAATTAATTTATTAATTTTTATTTTGATAAAATTATTGGCTGAGAAATTTTGAATTTATATCACTCCTTTTTTTGATCCTCTATGCAATTCAATTATTCATTCTACGAAGCTTCTTTAAAGTTTACACGCTTAACTGTATAAAAAAATAATAAAAATTGATATACTTAACTTCAGTAGAAACACCATTGTACATGTTTAGTATGTCAGGGTCAGAATTGACCTAGGCTCCGTTATTTTATTAACTGAATGGAACAATAGCCATCAGTAAAGGAAAAATAGTGTTTCAATTAAAAATCGTCAATATTATCGAATATAAACAAAACTAAAAAACTGAAAAATGTAACAACTAGCCCCGGTTTTTCTTAATAGTAGTTCAATAATAGTAGACAAAAAATTTAGCGGAGAAAATTCAAAATTAGCGTAATATCTGTAAAAATGTCTTTTTTTAGGTTCACTTCAATTTTTCAGAAGTGCAAATTATTTTACGGAATAAATAAAGCTCCGTATATTTATTTTTATATTTTACTGACATACTTGTATTTATGATATTACTGTATCATAAATACAATAAACACACTGCTCAAAAGAAATTTGGCATAGGAAAATTTTAGGCAAAAATTGGCCAAATTTGACTGATGATAGCTCCGTGAAAAATCATCGCAAAGTTATGCTCTTTTTTTTTCAAATTAAAGCTTGAGATCTCTACTTTAAGACCATGTAGTTTGATTTTAGATTTGATGCATCACTACCACAATAACACCATAAATGTGAGGTCATGTTTGCTATATTGAAAATTACAAAGTTTGACGAAATGCATGGACTTGCCACATTTTTTTTTAGTGATACTGTTTACAGCAGCATAAAGTACAAACCTTCATCTTTAATTTCCAGTATGTGAAAAAACCGCTACCATTTCTTCCCGCGAAGATACAGAACTTTAAAGAAACCCTTGCATTTATGGCATATACCGCCGGCATTAGCATTACCCGATATGCACCTCGGAGAGGTTGCTGGACAGATTTTGCACATCATATGGATCTGACAAGAGCCTTTTTTTGTGTGTATTTGTGTGTGTGTGTGTGAGTAGCTGTGTGTGTGTATGAATTATCGTCGAGAAACCTCGTTGAGAATCATTCTCGAATTTTGCAGTCCCAATTCAATTCGATTGCTTCCACATCCTGCAGTAAGTCTAGATTTGAACCCTACAGAAATTTAACAAGACAACTTGCCAATCTGTAAGACTTGTCGCAAGTCTTAACTCAATTTTGGAATGACATTCCACAAAAAGAAATGAGGGCTTGCATTAACATGAATAATAGGCTGCAAGGGATAATTCAACAACGCGGAGGAAACACGCGTTATTAGAATTCAAACATACACACACACAGATACTCACACACAAATACACACAAAAAAAGGCTCTTGTCAGATCCATATGATGTGCAAAATCTGTCCAGCAACCTCTCCGAGGTGCATATCGGGTAATGCTAATGCCGGCGGTATATGCCATAAATGCAAGGTTTCTTTAAAGTTCTGTACCTTTGCGGGAAAAAATGGTAGCGGTTTTTCACATACTGGAAATTAAAGATGAAGGTTTGTACTTTATGCTGCTGTAAACAGTATCACCAAAAAAAAAATGTGGCAAGTCCATGCATTTCGTCAAACTTTGTAATTTTCAATATAGCAAACATGACCTCACATTTATGGTGTTATTGTGGTAGTGATGCATCAAATCTAAAATCAAACTACATGGTCTTAAAGTAGAGATCTCAAGCTTTAATTTGAAAAAAAAAGAGCATAACTTTGCGATGATTTTTCACGGAGTTATCATCAGTCAAATTTGGCCAATTTTTGCCTAAAATTTTTCTATGCCATATTTCTTTTGAGCAGTGTATATAAAATAGATATAATAATGATATACTATAATACACAGAACAATTTGTAAAGAATAATCGCTTTTAGTTGTAGTAAGTTAAAATTTAAAAAAAAGGAGATTTAATATTTGTAAATTATTTTACTAAAAACGTTTTACATAGATTTGTAGATTTAAAGAACCATTATAACTTTTGTTTTAAATATTTTTGTTTCTAATATCTTCCGTCATTTAAGATTTAGAAGCAATTACATAGCCAGGTTAATAAAAGGTTGATTTTTGAAAGTAAAAAAGGGCATCAACAAATCATAATTATATACTTAAATAGGTTTACCAAACAATTGTGTAAAATCTCGTAAAAATTGGCGTGTGTCAGTTATCGGGGTCCTCTCATTAAAAATTATTGCAATTTCAAAAATTTTTCAAAATTAAAAAATTTCAAGTCTGCAGTTTAGAAGACGTTCGTCCAATTTTGAACTTTATGCAACCCTTCTTTTACATACAGACTGCAAGTTTAAAATTTTAATTTCAAGATTTTTGAACTACAACAATTTCGATATGAAGTTACATGTACGATTGGTCATTTATGCTATATTGCATGAATCAATTCTGTAAACATTCTAAATAAAAAAAGTATTAGGGTACAATATCGAACAAATCAACAATTCACAAGGTATTTCATCTTACTATTAAAATAACTGACCTTTAAGTTAAAATACCTCAAGAATTATCGATTCTTTAAGTGTCATATCTTAATACTCTTTTATGGATACTCTAAAGAATTAATCTATGTACACTTGATACTCAGTTGCATTTAAAAATAATCATGTGACCATATCTATCTTATCTTCTAATTGTAAGAAGATAAGCAGTTAGGGATTATTAAACAAAAAAATGTTTATAACTTTAAAACAAGGTTAAATCGGATTCATGTCTTTGCAGACACTGTAACTCTTAACAGAACAATTTTATAGGTTACGGTATAGCACTTAATACCTTTAATAATATTGTTTACTGATAAGAATTAACAATTTAATTTTTTTCGAGCACTAGCAACTACAATATTATCGATGATAGAAATTAATTTTGCTTACGAGAAACTCTTATCGACGACGGAAATTCGATACCGGTTATCATTAATCAATTTAAATGGTAAAAATTGTTTTTTAGCGATTAACCCCTTCCCGTGTTTTGACGAGTCTCACTTGTGATGCACTTACAGCTCAAATGTGACAAACCTTACTCAAATTTTGAATACTCTTCAACTTGAAATTTAGGTGCAATTATAACTTTAATTATCAAGTCCCCTGAATATAAAATACTCACAACATTTTAATTTTCTTTGTTCGTTTTAATGTTATAGCCCTGAATAGATAGTCTTGACTGACGCATCTGTTAACCCTTTGACTACGGCAGACTTTGGCACGCACTGGCCATACGGTACGGTACGAATTCACTCGCGACGTCCACTGGGTACGGCGAAATTTTACGTTAGACATGCATTAGACGCCTATTGGCGCCAACAATACCGGGAAGCTAACATGTTTCGGACGCCTATTGGCGCCAACAGTACCGGGAAGCCAACATGTTTCGGACGCCAATAGGCGCCAACAGTAGTCAAAGGGTTAAATAAATGGCAAGGGAAGGGGTTAATAACCATCATCGTTGATCCGAATTTTATTTTGGTTATTGACTACCATTAACATAAACTAGTTTTTTTTTCAGGTTACTAGCAATGTTAGTGGCAAAATATTTTTCGTTACATTGAACCATTATTGTTATTAATATCTGCAATTTATACTATTAATTCCCAAAGATATATAAATATCAATAGAGGTGATAGAGAAATTGAAAACTCACTAGATATATTAAAAGTTAATTTGGAACGAATTATTTCGAATTATCTCTAACGAATTATATAAATAATTCGAACGAATTATTTCGAAAGGGTTAAAAATAAAAAGTGTTAATTTTACAATACTGAAATCTTGCTTGACAGTATTTGTTTCACATTATCAATAATATTGATGGTAGTATGATAATCAATAATTATGACACCTTTATAAATCTCACCTTGTATAAAACGTGAGTCATTTAAATCACCTAAATATCTTTGTAAAAACTACAAACGACGAAGTACAAATTGTAATTTAACTACAAACTACAATTAACTCTTTCAAAATCATGTATGTTCTGGAAATTGTATTATATTACATTTTTTACACTAACTTATTTAAAAAAAGAATTTGAAGGTCCAAAGGTGTCTGTATAAAAATATGCCGTTCGAGTCAGATGTAATTCCTTTAATTGCACGTATTCTACATCATTATGAAGATATTACACTTCGCACAAGTACAATTTACGCGTTAAGATCCTCCGTGCGTCGAATACTGCCACCAGTACGCGCCCATAACGCAGATCAAATGCGATATCTGACTCAAACGACATATTTTTATACAGGCACCTTTGGACCTTCAAATTCTTTTTTTAAATAAGTTAGTGTAAAAAATGTAATATAATACAATTTCCAGAATATTACGTATAGAAATCAATTGTGCACCGAACGGAAGGTATAAAATGTACGTATAACTTCAACGACAATAATATTTTTTCCACAAGCGAAACTAAAAATTCCAATTTATCCGTATTTTGTCTTTTGACCTATAGTTTACATGTGTAAAATTTGATCAAAATAGTACAAAG